GCGCTATTTTACGCCCCGTGTCGGACCCTCCTTTGCCTGGAATTTCAGTTACCCCGGATGGTTGTAGCCACACCCCATTATTCCCCCGCATTAATTAGCGTTTGTTTACTCATATAAGCCACGCCCCTCACTTCGGAGCCACGCCCTGCTCTGAGGTTAGTTATGAAGGGTCGAGCCCGCCGCGTCCTTCTGGCCGATTTGGCCAAGATAAAGGAGTCAAAGTTTGATCCAGTCTGGTTAGCAGAGGAGCTGTTTGCGGCTGGAATCGTTGGAGAGGAGGAAAGAGTAGCTGCTAAGGATGAAACGGTTTCCAAAGAGCACCGACGGGACGAGCTGCTAGACTTGGTTATGGGGAACGGAGGGGAGAGCGTGTTCCAGACCTTCGTGAATATATTTTCCAGCAAACGGCACATGCACTGGCTTGCTATGGATCTAAAAGGTTGGGATACCGCAGTGTTGGTGATGATAAAATGAGCCGGTATCTTTTAGACTCTGGGTCGAAAAAGGGGCGTGGCACTAGTAGACAAAAGCGGGCGTGACCGCGTGTTTATGGCTAACTGGAATGCTACTGTAGTGTAGTTCATTTTGTTCTGGACGTGCATGATTGACCATGCTCTGTGCCTATAGTTCCGTTAACGTGTAGGGCCACCCCCTAACGCAAGCTACACAGATTGCGCAAAATGCATATATGTACAAGGGCATTCACTCTGTTCACAGTGAAAAAGTTCAGCATAAAAACAAGTGTTAATGCATGTGCCCTATTGTGTGCCATCTTTAGTATATAAGTCTATCTGTCAGTCTGTTTGTGTGTTTGTTTGTACTACATGCTACCAGGTGGCCCTTAAATGATACCAACGGCTTCAGAACTACGCAAGCCTGAAAACTGAAACGGCAATTTCCCCCAAAACTACTCCGTTCAGGAATGTGCCGTGAAAACAAGCGATATGCATAATCGCACTGGGCTTACCTCCACCTGATCCACTTGCTCTGTGTACATACCTTGGAAGCACAAGAAGGCACAACAAAGGGCATGTATCGACTCCCGCACGCTATGTACTATAGTGTAGCTAGCCAGTGTCAGACTCTCCGTGAGCTTCTAGCGTGGAGACCACGAGTAAACACATATTCATAGCCCAGCCCATCATTTAGCGTACCATGCATGTGCATGCAGTGCACTGAGGGTTTGTACTTTAGTGCTTTTACATAAAGTGCTTGTTTGCGTCATGTGGGAGGTAGTGTACCTTGTTTTTGATGCTAGAGATTAAAACTACATGTTTACAGATGAGTTCCTGAGGCAAGGAGGAGTGTGGATGAAGGAAGAGCCAGTCAGGATATCTGATGATATACCAGGTTTGTATAGTGTAAAAAACTGCAAACCGTTGCAATGCATCTTTAATGCATCAGCGAAAGTCATCATGAGGTCTTCAAATGCACGTAAATATTTACACACACCTTATTATTGTGTTGATGTCTTATATTATGCATTGGACTCTGACCTGAGTAAGAATGTGTTAAAGCTACATTCTATGCAGCATTTTACGATTGTTCCAGAGTAGAGTCCATTGCCAAATGGGGTTTCACATACTAGAGTTTATGTAATACAGACGTAGACCAAGGTGGGTGCATGAGTGTTTCTGTGAGTAAAGGTTTCCTACACTGAGTGAATACCTTGCACCAACAGGTGAATGCTGTGTATTTTGGGGAGTGAGAGCGAGCCAAGTCTTCCATTGACGTGGAAAGGCGCATCCGCAAAGTAACCATGTCTCTTTCTCTTCCCCTGTCTCGGAGGAAAGACCGAGGGCAAGACGTCTCCTCTGCGAGCTAAACCTGCCTCTCGTTCTTCCGCTGTCTTGAAAGCATAAAGTTGTGTCTTCCGGACTCTTCCTGCAGGTAGATGTGTCTGTAATTCTTCCGCTGTCTCGGAAGCAAGACGTTATCTTCACCGAGCTCTATCTGCAGGGCAGACGTGTCTCTCACTCTTCCACTGGAAGACACTCTCTTAAGGTTACTTTCCCTCTCTTGGATACAATAATGCTGATGTCTACCTAGTCGGCACTCAGATGCGATTTATTGCTTACCTTTGGAGATCGTTGCTTTCAGGGAGAAGACGAAATTGTACATAGGCTTTGACTTACGTGGCTCGCAGCATCGCGTGTGCGCATTAATTCAGTGTTTCCCGCAGGGTAATACTCAAACAGGGTGCACAAGGGGCATGGTGAGTATAACTGTGTAACCATGAACAGACGACTACAAGACCGATACAAGACAATAGTGACAGTGCAATGACATAATAATACATATACATGATAACAGTCATTCTGGCGAAACGGACGGTGTTTCTCTCTATATCGGGAATCTCCGTCCCCAAAGTAGGTGTGAAAAAAAACTCGTGAGACACTGACCCACACACTAGAGAACTTCTTTTGACCCTAGAGAAACCATTACCCTGAGTTTTGTACTCCATAGTGATCAATCATAGAGTCAGGACCGATACCTCATTTACAGTACCATTATCTCTGAGGCATCGTTTACATTTTTTCCCTCATGGAGTTTATTCTCTTTCCTCGTGTATTATTCTACGCAGGTACCTCTGTTACTTACACTTTGCTGGGTTCTGCAGCTTAGTTTGTCAGCATACCACAGTGATTTAGCCTATCTTTTAAATTACCAGCAAAACTTCTTGTTTAGCAGAGTTCATATCCGTCTACGCTCAGTCACTACCGGGCATCGCACTGTCCAGGACGTCACCACTCTCTGCTTTCAATTAGAACAGCTGAGAGAGTTTTCACGTGTGAAGACCCTGACCCTAGAGATGTCCCCAGTAGAAGTGCATGCATGCTAAGTGAGAGTATACTGTGCCATAGCACAGTGGTTTGAGGTTTGCCTTGTGTTGTGTTGTGTTGTGTTGTAGATTCGAACCCCTACCAGTTGAGTTGCCCTGGTAGCTCAGTTGGTAGAGCGCTCGCCTAGACTGCAGAGTGTCGTGGGTTCGAATCCCACCTAGGGCAGCTCTTTATTTTTCCTTGTCCTGGGTGTAGTTGATTTGTTTGTTGTGCCTTTGCCTTTTCACCTAGGGCAGCTCTTTATTTTTCCTTGTCCTGGGTGTAGTTGATTTGCTTTGCCTTTCTACCTCATAGTTTTCACATGAGTAATACAAAGTCAACAACAAAATATTTTTTGGGATCATTTTGCCATGGGATAAGTTTGTCTATCAAAGTTGTTCGACATAAAACCTCGGGTATATTGACTCTTCTCGTCGTTTGTCAAGTTACAGACACAGAATGCATTTTTCCAGTTTATGGCTTGTTTTCACGGCATCTCTCGAACACAGCTGTTTCAGGAAAATCACCATTTTACCGTTCAGGTTCGCCGCCTCGTAGCCTGTAATAGCAGAATAAGCGTCGACAGACAGACGGAAAGACAAATCAAGTACTGTAACCCTCGCTGTGCATGTTCATCCTGGTGTGGTTGGATTCTTTAAATCAACTTGTGTTCGTGACACCCTATGTCGCACTGTCATATGTGTTTCTGCTAGAAATTATTGCGTTTTGTTTTTTAGCGAATAGGTCAGAGTGTGAGGGAGAGCCCGGAAGGCTTAAAGTTGAAGCTGTAAAGGTTGAAAGTTCTTACCATGCTCTTTTGGGAGTCAAAATCAATCTGTAAGCAACGTGGAGCAAAGTTTATGTGAAGAAGTTCTCCACATTCTTAAAAGAAAAGATTGGGTTACTGAAACAGCATATATGCATAATCCAACTGGGCTCTGTGTATATACCTTGGAGGCTCAAGAAGGCTCAAGAAGTCACAACTAAGGGCGTGTTTCGACTCACGCACGCTATCTAGTTGTGTAGCTAGCCCGTGTCAGACTCTTCGCCAGCTACTAGTGTGGAGACCATGAGAGTAAATGCATGCCCTTGGCCCCACCCATCAATTAGTGGTACCATGCATGCACATTACGCTGAGGGTTTGCACTGTAGTGCTTTTCATTGAGATTGGACTTAAACTCGCAACATTGTTTTTAGTCAGAGCACTGTGGAGCTCAGCCGGTATGCAATGCAGCACATAATACAACAATATGTGCAGAGCTGCACACATTATCATTTACGTATGTGTTGTGTTGCTTTACTACCTTCAAAACATGGGTCTCGTCATGGAAAAGCATGCTGGTGATGACGTAGGTGAACTTCGGATGCATACATAAAAGGAATGCAAACATTTTCCCATTCTGCAACATCGTGACTATTATTCAACTGAGAAACAATCGACCTCAGGTTTTCCGCCATTGTCTTTGCATTCCCTTTTAGTTAATATTGCACGTATTTCTCTGATGAGATTACCGGCGGTGTAAGACCTACTAGGAATCAACAGAGTATCCATCAAGAACTGTACATACACAAAGGTAATCAATCGATTAGCTCAGCGTCACTAATGCCTTCCCTACTATCAGCACCACATTATTGGCTCTAAGAGCCCGTACAGTTCCATCAGCTATAATGCATGTAACTACTATGATCCATACATTACACTTTCGAAAACTGCCACGGTTTCCGAGAATAACAATGGATGTAGGTGGATGCCCACTCTCACAGACCAACTATAGCAACTGAGGGATAATTATTGCATTATACCGAATTTGCCAAACTCACCTGCTACTTTCATGTTCCTCTTTCACCATATCACCTTCAGTATGATCTGCCATTTCTGAGTCCCGATCTATTTAGTTTGCAGCTTCGTTTTTCTGAACTGACAATAACCCCAAGAATATGATTAGCAGCGATCCTTTAATGTTGGACAGTTTCTTGACTGAAGTTATGAATTGTTGAGGCAAGTAATCTATTTTCTTTGCTATGTTTTCCTTGATGAGATCACGGCTGGTGTCCTGGATATTTGCAACAACCACCTCGATTACTTTATCTATCTTCATATGTAGTTTGTGCTTGTCACAGACCTGATTTAAAAAGGCAATTGTTATGTCAGCGGTTCTTACAATACTTACTACTGTATAAAACTTCTTTCAGCATTGTAATATGGTAAAATATTTTTGAGCTAGTTCCTCGCGAATAATCGTTCCTGATAATATTGAAACTGTTGTTGTAATTTGCCATCGACCAGATCAACATCCCTGCTCCACATGCGTCTTGTAGACTCAGCTCTATAATTATACCAGGTAATATGTCACAGCCGTCAACCCTGATCCACCACCATGTTATGAGTGTCCACACTATTTGTGAGCGGGGTTTATAAATGCTAAAGTTTTGACGGCACAGAGCTACTGCTAATCATGGCTCTTACAAGGAGGTAGCTACCCTCACCACATTTTAAGAACTTTATGGGATGAATTTTAATATGGCAATGGACATGAAAGATTTTTGGAAAAAAAATGCCTATGAGTTCGAGTTCCATGCATTGTATAGGAGCCACCAACAGCTCTCCCTCTCCATCAATGAGGCCTCACACCAGAATCTACTCTCGACCTCTCCTTCAACCCATTTCCGAGCTTTCGCTCTGTCCTCGAGTTTTCCTCATGGCGGAGACTGGCTAAATGTTGTGCCATCTTAGCCTTTAAGACCACAAGTTTCATTACTGCCTGCGATACTGGCGGGGAATCCCTCTTCACAACATCCTCTACTCCTGCCCTAAATGCCAAGGCACCACTGACCGATTCGGGGACCACCCGGTTGGCTGTGGTCGCAACGGGGACCGCATCTCACGCCACAATGCCATGCGCGATGTCATCTACTCCTCGGCCCAGTTAGCTACTCTAACCTGGTGCCCAGTTCCCAGTCAGGACCAGATTCCAAACTGGAGCTGAGGTCGGCCGGCCGTGACGTAATCTCCCCATTCAGCAGCAAATCATAGGAAAAGCGGCCTCTACTCCCGGCCATGCCCTCATAGTTTGAGTGTGACTTAAGCTTACCTCCACCTGTCCACCTGCCGCTCCGTAGGAGCCAAACTCATTCCTCTCATTATTGAGGCCCTGGGTGGTCTCTTAAAAGACACAATCACTACCTTTCGATCTCTTGGACAGGCCAATCTCCAGTGGTCCGGTTCCCCCAATACTTCCATCCCGGCAAGCTACATTTTCAAAAGTGTAACCATCGCCCTCTAGAGAAAGAAACGCTATCATGTTGCTACACTGAAACCGAACTCTTCCACCTTTTATTGACGGTCTAGTTTTGATGCTTCTGCTATATAAATAGAAGTCACACACTCATCTGCGCATACGTGTGCAATTTGGTTGCATGTGTTACACTCAGAGCCTGCATGTCCTGTTCCTTGTTAACCCTTGGTCTGCATGCGCAGCGAGGGTTACGGTACTTCATTCGTAAGTGTGTCTGTCCGTCTGTCCGTCTGTCTGAGAGAATGCGTTTATCAGAGCTTCCAAGTATTATTTTTTTGGAGTATATAGAACTGGTACCCTCCGCACCAAGACACTCTGTGTGTAGTGGCCCATCCAGTTGGAACTAGTCTTGCAACGCATTTTTGTTGAGCAGCGCAAGTATTAAAGTGCGACGCTCTACGTGTTACACAAGCATGCACGTGCATTGTCAAGTGACAGAGACGTTGATTGCATAATTGCAGGAGGCGATCCATACAACCTGATTGGCTCGATTCTCTCTGCTTGCAAACATGTGGGAGTCTCCAAGCGAGAGAATGGGAGAACCTACTATATTTACTCGTAAAACGGGTGGTATCCTCTTAAAGCGGGAGAATTGACAGCTCTGATATGGGATATGACTATCCAAAAATATGTATTTTCGTTCCGTTGTGCTAGCAGCATTGTACTGTTACGTTTATCTCACTCATTTTTATGGAATATGTCTCCACAGAGCCTGGTGCAGTAACCCAAACTATTACACCTGCTGGTGACTCTTTGGTTGTCCTAGATAAGAGGCTAAACAAAGATGATGCCGTTGACATTGTTCGACAATTACTTGATGTACAGAACAAGGCAAAAACTTTAGGTCGGCTTTTAAAATTACCTAGAGCCATTATAGAGGTAACCCCTCAGCTGACCGGTGATCCTCAGGCTCCTCTTTTCTATATCATTGATGAGTTTCTGAAACAAGTTGATCCCAGACCAACGTGGAGGCTGATCCTGAATGCCCTCAGAGATCCGCTAATTGGGGAACATAGCCTGGCTCAGGAGATAGAAATGTCTCTAACAACGGACATAACTTCTCCCAGTCTTCCTGCAGCTTCTCTTTCCCAGTCCTCATTTCCTACTTCAGTCCCCAACTCCACTTCCCCTACTGATGTGCTCCAATCCACTACTGCTGCTGCTGCACCCCTTCCAGCATTAACTGCAGACTCCCAGTCATTATCAGTTTCACAGTCTATCTCGACCGTTTCAGTCTCCAGGTCTAAGTTACCAGGAACAGGCTCTAGCTCTCCTGGAGATTCCACTCAATGGACAAAGAGAGACTCTCGCCCCACTCATCAAGCCGTAAGACATAGATCCCAGGAAATGGCTAAACCTGCTCAGACTCATTTTAGAGGTAAGCCTCTTTACCTACACCAGAATGATTGATAGCCTTCAATTACCTCCTGTAGCTCTCAGTCCTGCCTCCACTAGTGTGGTCCATAAGTCAAGGTCACGGGGACCAAGTTCTGGGTCTCTTACAAAGAAAGTTCATTACTCAACAAAGGGGACTGCCTCCCAGAAGTTAACAGCAGTTGTGGCAAAGCCTCAACCAAGTGGACATCGTTCTCAAGAAAAAGCAACCTTAGGTATATCATTGACCCACTGTATGTATATTACAATGGTTGATTGATATAGGTGCTGTTGGTGGTCACTCTTCTATGGCTGAAACACAGCATAGCACTAAACATAAAAACACCAGTGGACAGCAGAGCTCCAGTGTAGTATCTAGAACTACACATGGCATCAAAGCTGTTAGTGCATCAAGAACACGGAAAGTGGAGGCTCTGCAGTTTTTCCTCATCTTTACCCACTGCAGTCGCTCCCACTGCATCAGACATGCCACTGTCTGTGACTTACAGTAAGTTGATATAAAAGGTTGACTCAAGAGGTATTGATGTGTTGCTGTGTATATACCTTAGGTTGTGATATGGCTGAAGTACAAAGTAATATGCAAAGGCTTCATGCGAGGTTTGAGGATTTGCAGAATGCAGTTATAATGTCATTGGTTCGAAATGGAGTTCCAGTTTCACATTTTGTTCGTGAACTTTCAATGCTCCGAGCATCAAATGTAGTCGAACATGAAAACTACTTTTCTGAAGACGTTAGGGAATTTGGCAAATGTGTGAAGTACCGTCCCTTATTTTCCCATCTCAGTCCTCACTGCCACTTTCTCTCACCTCATTTGCTCTATCATCTCATTCGAAAGTTTCTAAAGGCTTTTAAAGAAATGGTGTCTTATGACACATATCTTAGCCAATTTAGGAATGAGACTCTCTTGGGGTTGTTTGCTCAGATAAAGCATCTACGTATTCCACTGCCAGAAGGTTTCTCCAGTATCCTCGTACATTTTAAAGGTGACGTTTCGAAAGATATGACATTAGGCAACGTAGATGTTTTCAGGAAAAAGTACTTGAAACATCACAAGCTGTGTGATTATACACTCGTGCTAGTAACCAATGATATGATGCTGCCATCAAGTGCTTCATTTTCAGTTCCCAATTCTGTCACCGAGAGACTGAAAAATGACATTCCTATTCAACTTTTGAAAGAATTCGGTGTCATTAAGTTTGAAATCGCTGGAACTCCAATGTACGGTGAGGCGGGTATGACTGTCTCAGGAGTACCTCCTTCAGCCAACGATCATCTTACTATTGCTGCACCCCTAACTCCAGGTAAGAGTAGAACCCTTATGCATAGCAGTACTAGTTAAGAAAGACAATTGTGTTTTGTTAATAGGACTATTTTATGTGAGTTACTGATCTGTTATACAATGCTACACTGCCATTTTAGGGAGTTTTGGTTTCTGAATAAGCCAATAGCCTAATGATCACTGACTTACCTCGACGAGATTCCCTTTTTGTACACTGAAGAGGCATAAGAACTGGGTGCAAGTATTGAGTCCGAGTCGCTATCTACCCATTGTCGCTAGCCTGTGTCAGACTCTCATTGAGGTAGCTAGCGAGTTGTTGTACCGCATCACGGAGAAGTCAGAGTGTATTAGTGTCATTGCGATTATACTGATGGTTTCCAGATTTCAACAGCTAAGATTATTATACCACTATGATGTGGTTAAACCCAAAAAGTGCAAGATTAACGACGTGGTCAAACATTTATTCTTTTCTTCTAAGGAGTATAATAGAGTGTCAGTGTACACTAGAATATAGGGATGGCACAGGTCCACTCTTACCTGATCTGTATACATAGAGTCTAAAACTCAGTAAAATTGCTCGCTAGACCTTCATCAATTAACCCTTGTTTGTGAACTACGCTTGTTTATCAGTGTCCCTGGTTCCCAAACTCTGTAACCACAAAATGTTCTCTAAGTCAGTCAAGAAATCAAATAGAATACTACGCGTGAATGTAGATTCAGTTGTTGATCTTGTTGTTTACATGTACCTTTTGTTATGTTTTCCTGTTTTATCTGTAGGTTTTGTAGTTTCTGTAGTTTTACTACATGTAGTAAACCCCGTCGATGTTTACTACGGGATTTAATAAACCTCGCCTTTGCAATCTGATTGGTCAATAGAAACCTAGCTCACTCTAAATAAGCAGAAAAGCCTGACTACAACCCTACACGTATCCTGTTGAACCGTGCAAACCGCCTGTCATAGTTGTAGGGATCAATTTAAGTCAGAACGTTGCGTATTGGATGTGTAACAGTTGCGTAATGGCTGCGTAACCGTTCCGTAACCATTGTGTGTAGGTGGCGAATATTATAGTTGATCCCGTCTTTACCTGTGCCTGTTGCGCTGCCGTGGTAGCTAAGTGGGGAGAGCACTTGTCTGGAGAACGGAGTATCCTGCATTTCAGTCCAACCCACAGGGCGGATGTGCTTGGTGTTGTTGAATTGCACATCCATGCCTTGTTTACAGCCCCACCCCCATTCAAAGTGTAGGTGTATTTTCTACATCCTGGTAAAAGCCCTGTCCCAGACCCATTCTTTTATCTATGTAAGCAACAGCGCTAGTATCGACCCCTAGCCTCTTTCCTCTAATTGTGTGGGAGGGCTAGGGCAGGATACTTGGTCAAACAATCTCACTAACTACTATGTGAGAGAATACTGCTGCAGGAGACAGAATGAATTGTCTGCTTGTTTGTGGAGAAGATTGGAGGCGATCTATAAATACCACTGGTAAACTCCATTTGGACTCTTGGGTACTCAGCATGACTTTTTTGTATTTTCAAGCTATAAGTGGTGACTATTGTAATGTTGAATGTTTAATACTTCACCTAGTCAACAATGTAGGGATTGTGTGATGGGGTCGGGGGGGTGTCAGCATGCTCAAAAGCACCATGCTTTATGTATCCCATCTCTGTCTCCCTTTCTTTTTATACCATCCGTATATGCCTCTTTTTTAAATTCGCAGGATTTGTTTATTTACTTGCCTCCACTCATGTTGTGATAAAACTACTGTGTATCTCTGAGGAAGGGGGCAAGTCCCCTATAAAAATTTAAGCCTGTTGCAACATGTGGTCGTCATGGAAACGGTGTAATAACATACGTACCACATTCTCCTTGCGTGCTACCGTTAAAGAGTACAGAAGTAATTGAATAAATGTGCCTCATCTCCATGCATGCTGCCATTAACAAGTTTGTGAATTGAAGAAGCAATTTTAAAGAAAACTGTTGTTGTTTAGGAACATGTAGTCGTCATGGAAACATGTAGTTGTCATGGACGTGATGTAGTACCAAGTTTCATCTCGAGGCGTGGTACCGTTTGCAAGTTAGAGGAGTGAAGAAGTAACTTGTTTACAAACATGTATTGTTGTGTGTTTGAGTTGACAAACAAATTTAATAAGTGTGACCGGTCTCTTTGGGTTACGGATAGCTATATAGTTACAAAATTTTACTCTATGTTTCGTTTTTGAGTTATGGGTTGATTCTGAAGAAGATGATTATGATGATGATAATGAACAAAACTCCCCATATCCCATGATGCTAGGTACCATGCCCATCCCTATATTACCGTACTTAGTGGTAACGAAGATAGATGCAGTGTCATATAAAAATCAAGCAATTAAGCAGCTTGCTTTGATGGACCATGGAATGCTACCAGATAACTTGTAGGTAAAACAGCCAAGTGCGTACAAGAAATGGGAATAATATTATCCTGCGTGTATTGTCATATAAATGACTGAACTTGACTGAACGTGCTCTCTGTGTTTTTGCCATGGCATTTCCCAGTGCTGGTTTGTACCCTATGTATATCTGTGGCGAAAAACACCGACTAGTTTTTCTACAGAACTCTTGTGTGGGGATGTGATGGCATACAGGCATAAGACAAGTGTACTGGAAATCCAGTTGAAGTATAAGATGTCTGTCAGCTCATTCGTGTGTGGCACTGGTTAAGTCATGCTTGGTGGTCAGTCATTTATACATAGTGTGCAGCACTAGTTAAGTCACGATGTACTAAAGATCTACGATTCCAAGTACTAAGAGTGGGCAATTAGTACGTACCTTACTCGCCTGCATGTGCAGCTAGGGTGTGTGTTCATCTCTCCCATAGATTTATTAGACTACGTAACCAGAATTGATAATGGCGACAATTTCCGTGTCAGTCCTCGTATAGTAATATATAAATATGAGTGGAGACAAGTAAATAAAAAACCCTGCGAGTTTAAAAAAAGGCATATAGGGATGGTATAAAAATAAAGGGATGGGATGCATGAAGCATGGTTAATGAACAGATTTGAGCACGCTGACACCCCCAACCCTTGTTGCCTAGGTGAAGTATTTAATGTTCGACATTACACAATAGTCAGGACTTACAGCAAAAAAGTAATGCTACTGAGTAACCAAGTTTACGAGTGGCACACCAGGCAACAATATAGGAATTGCCTGATGGGGTCGGGGTGTCAGTGTGCTCAAATCTGTTCGTTCTCATTTCCCTCCATGTACAGCTAGGGGAAATGTTTGTTGGAGCAATATCAGACCTCGTTGATGTAAATCTGACGTGCACACTTTTTTGCACAAACAATATCAAAATGAATGCATAAAACATAAGAAACCACATCCTAAAACACCTACGTACGTAACAGAAAATTTCCCCTGTCAGTGAAGTACCTGCAGTGAAAGCAAGACAGCTTTAGAGGAGGTATATACATAGAAGAGAGAGAAAGAAGAAATTTCTAGCTGGAACATAATCCAGTGCGTGACTTCACCGTGTGCAAACCGTTCTCCACTGTTATGTGCAGTAGTCTCAAGCGGTATGTGCAAGCAAAAAAGGTGAAAAGGTCAACGTTACAGTGTTTCCCGCAGGGTAATATTCAAACTGGGTGCTTATGAATTATTAATTACCTCAGCTTTGAGGCTGAAATACATTACACGTTTCAAAGCACTTCCTATTGGGAAATCTCCTACTGGCCTAAAGCCTTTCAAGTGCTACTCTATAAGCAGCGCATTACTGCGCACAGTGTAACTGCGCTAGTTGCATTTTACACATGCGCAATAATTGTACACGCCCATTTTCGGGATTTTTCAATCTTGGCGGTGCGCCCGGTTGTTATAATGCTGCGGGAAATACTGCGTTAATATGTAATGCTCAGAACCTTACCACCCATATTATACACCTGCACATGAACAGAGGCTCAAGGAGCGTCCAATGCTAATCCATTACCACTACCTTATATAGCGTAACGCACATATTTGTAGTAAAGTTATGATGTTGGTTATATAAACATACTCTTCTTGTGTGGTATTTAAGAAAAATGCCCCCCCCCAACACTTCTTATAGGTAAGACGGCAAATTCGAGTGTCTTAGAAAAAGAGGAGGTAGAAGGCGCGGCACACGTAGTTGGACAAGCTGCCACACCCTCTCCAGGTATCCATAGCAAACGTATGTGTCGTGCCTGCTGTGAGTTACCCTGGTAGCTCTGTGGGCATTCTTGTTAAAGAATCGAGTGTACTGTGTTCGAGTCCCACCCAGGGCAGCTCTAAAAGTGTTGTCATGAATTGCGCTTGCCCTGTATTATCGTCAAGTGTGGGTGGATAAAGAGTGCTGCCACGCGCACTTATAAAAAGAAAGGGAGACAAGAAAGGGATGGGATACATGAGGCATTGTCAATGAACAGAATCGAGCATGCTGACACCCCTGATTCCTGTGAGAGTGTACATCCAGTCCTGCACTGCAAGTAATCTTTCAGGGGTGTGCCTTCATCTTGCGAGTCCTACTGGACACTTGTCTTTAGGTCTCATGTGAGCTGTACCGTACATCCTCATAGGCTTTAAGAGTGCAAATAGATATCCCTCCGATGTACAGCTAGGGGAAATGTTTGTGTGTGTCCGTCCATAGATATTTTTACTGAGATTGAAACTGGGAACAATATCAGACCTCGTTGGTGTAAATCTGACGTGCACACGTTTTTTGCACAGCAAGACAATATGCAATAAAACATAAGAAACCACATCCTATAAACACCTACGTGACGTAACAGCAAAATTTCCTGTCAGTGAAGTATACCTGCAGTGAAAGCAAGACAGCTTTAGAGGAGGTATATACATACATAGAAGAGTGAGAGAAAGAAGAATGATGGAAAGATGGCATAAAATAAAGCAAAATGTCTAGCTGGAACATAATCCAGTGCGTGCCTTCACCGTGAGCAACCGTTCTCCACTGTTGTGGGCAGTGGTTTCAAGCGGTGTGTGCAAGCATATTAAAGCCTTAAAAAAGGAAAAGGTAATAATGTAATGCTCAGAACCTTGCCACCCATACTCCTGCACATCAACAGAGGCTCGTGGACGCAAGGAGCGTCCAATGCTAATCTATGACTATTCCCTGCACTACCTATATAGCACAATGCACACATTAGTAGTAAAGTTATGATGTTGGTCAGGGTTATGTAAACATACTCTTCTTGTGCGGTGTTAAGAAAAATGCCCCCCCAACTCTTCGTAAACGTAATGTGGCAGTATACTGCTTTCGGTCACAAATTACACACTTCTAGAAACATCAACAAAACTCTACACAAACTTTGACCTTTTGATCCATCCGGGCGGCAAGGCATCCTAGACGAGGTCCGGCTCCGATCATGATCCATCGGGGCGTTACGCGCACGTTTAGTACGCGGTGCCGTTCTTTATACTTTAATCCCTGTTCATCGACGAGATACTATCTTGTCTAGACCAGGGGAGGAACTCGACATACCAACCAACAGTACGAATCTCGAACGCTCAGCCCACAACAACAACCGACAACAGTGCGTGCGTCGGCTACGAGACCCGCCCCCACCACAACCGCAGTGTGCTTCGCTCCACAACTCGTTATGCGCTTGCTCCCCAATAGATCCCGTCGTCCGAGGCAGTGGGATCTGCTGAAAATAGATCCCGCGTTTGGACCAACGAAATTGCGCGATTTCAAATTACCGGGATCTAAAACTGGTTATTGCCCTAGAATAATATTTTTTGCAACACCCTACAACATATTTTTTGCCCTAGCTAGAAAAAATGTTGGCTACGTAGCCATATTTTCTAAGGCCAACTTCCAGTTTTTTGTCCAATTGTTTCTTTTTGTTGAGGCAAAGTGCTAATGTTGCAGAGGTGTTGAGTTTCCTGGGTATTTTCTGCATATTGCTAATGAGATTGCCGCTTCCTTGGAATAATTATCAGCATTACAGGAGTGCATGGCTTTGAGGAAATGTTGGACCCTTTATGAAATCTCCATGTTGTAGATATGTAGATAATTAGTGCATTTAAACTAGTTGTGGATAGGCATGAGATAATTATTCAATTTTTTCTTGCTATTATTCTATTCCACAATTCACTGGAAATATTGCTATTATTCACTGAAAAATTGCTATTATTCTCTGAAAAGTTTCAATTATTCTCAGCTCAAGTTAAAAAACCCAATAAAAAAGCATTATCGATTATACTGTAACATAATGGAACATTCAATATAGTCTTGTAATGCATCTTGCTGACTTCTACACGTCCTGCTGCTGGATGTGCGATTGCGCATGCCTCGCTTGCAGGGAGTGGTCTTTCAGGAACTGCTATTATTCTCGAATGATTCTCGATTCCTTACCGTTGCTATTATTCATAAAATTATGCCGGCATAATTATCTCATGCCTAGTTGTGGAGTGATAGAGTGTGTTATTAACCCTCTGTGCGCTTGCGCAGTGAGGGTTACAGTACTCATTTTGTCTGTCTGTCTGTCTGTCTGTCTACGACTATTCTCAGCCTAGGAGGCGGCTTATGAGCGATACCAACAGCTTTAGGGGTACATGGGCTACAAAAATAAAATGGTGATTTTGCTCAAACGACTGCGTTCCAGAGTGACAAACTGGCACGGCCGCGGACCGCGTTGCATGGCCCAACGCATCAATAAGCGGTGCGCATGCGTATATCAGACGCGATCAACGCAGTAGGCTGACTCACCTCGACCTGATCTGCTGGCTCTGTGTTCCTTGGAGGCACAAGAAGCCACAGCGTACTTCCGCATGCTATCTACTACCGTAGCTAACCCGTGTCTGACTCTCTGCGAGCTACTAGTGGGAGACAGCGAGTAAACGCAGCCCATCCATTAACGGTACCGCGCATGCGCAGTTCGCCAAGGATTTGGAGGGGTAGGTGCCATCAATGCCAAGTCACCAAGACAGTCACACATCCTTTGGGTGTGGCGTCTGCAGAGTGAGGTTGTGGAAGACCACCTATTTCACCAGTTTCATGGACTGAAGTGGTTAAAATTTCAATCATTGTATGCCATAATTATAGGAATATATAAAAGGAGTAGAGAAAAAACAATAAATAGAAGGAAAAAAGGAACAAATGTCAAACAAAACAGACAAAAACACAATACCAAACTTAATAATTAAATAATGCTGTCAATAGAGGGGGGGCAATAGGGAATCGGTGGAGCCAAAGAGCGGCATTCCCACCCCAGAGAGAGACAGAGCAGCACTGGAAGGGGTGACAAATTGAGTCCGCTGGTGAGACCCCTAAACGCTGGCCTAGGAGGCGACCATTTCTGGACAATGAGGTGGCTGTGGCCTAACTCATGCCACTCAGGGCCTCAAAAGCAAGGGGGGTGAAAGAGACCCCAACACCGCGGCAAGCGGGGGTATGAGCTGACATCTTTGACTGCCACCGGAGGGGGGACATCGATGTCCTATAGAGAGACTCAGGATGCCCAGCTGCCCCGGCAAGAGTGGCAAGGCAGGAATGGAGACTAGCAGGGACAGGAGGAGAGTGTCGGAGAATCTGGGCAACAGGGGGATTGGAAAGAGCGAGGGAGACAATGAAAGCTACAGGAGCGTGAAGGAGGGCCTGACAGAGATTAAGGCCACCCAAAGAGGCCGGCAGCGACACTTTAAACCAGCTCAAGTCAGAGATGGGGCCTCCACAGAGGTCTTCCAAAGAGTCCCGCATGATGTTGTCAAAGGCTGCAAGTGCAGGATGAATCAGGTTGGGGGCACAGGTACGGAGAGTGAAGGCAATTGTAGGGAGGACCGCAACAGAGCGGTTTCCATTTGGGCATCTTGGAGATCCCTCAAATTGACAAGGGTGTCCTGAATTTTGGCAATCCTCTTCATGACTGTGCAGGTGCATAAAGAGGCAGAGCCTATAAGACAACCCAGAAGAACAAAACCACTATCGGCGACAGGAACACCCTGGGGAAGAGACGAAGAGGGGGGTGAAGCATAAGGGGGAATGATGAGAAGGGATTTTCTCCGGTTAAGCAGCAGACCACGAGAAGGCCCCTCAGCCTCAAGGATGTGAAGCGCCGCACAGAGATCACTTACAGGACCACAGAGACTCCAGTGATCTAGATACCAGACGTTCAGAGGAGACCTGGAACATCTCGATTGATCTGCCCGAGAATAGGCTGCAGGGCGAGAACAAGACCCAACGGGCCCAGTGGGTCACATTGCTGGACCCCGCCAGCAGCTGTGAATTATGTCGTCGCCGAAATGTAGAATAGGCTGGATACCATAGTAACATTCGAGCCAGGCTGACATGGAGAGGATACGAGACCGAGCCTCAACAAACATACACTTCCGATCTATAGAAAAAGATTGGAGATGTCAACTAGGAGGAAACAGCGAAACCCACAGCAGAGAGAGAGATTGAATGGCTTACCTAAATTGCCCATCTTTGACAGCCCTACGAGCCCGACTAGCGTTAGCTAACTGCATTGATTCATGAGAGGCGGGGTTAGACCGGAACTTCATTAGATGCTGGAGAAGCAGCTCATTCTCCTCCCTGACCTCACACCAGAGGGATAACCACACCCCCAGACCTGGACTTGCGATAAGTGCTTGGAACAGCTTTAAAGTATCACGCCAATGTGAACGACCCTTCCTAGGGGTCTGGCGAGGATACATCTAGCCAATAGAAAGAATTTCATCCACAGCACACATCACCAACTAGACCAGCCCAAGCGTCCTTCGGAACATGGCGGAGGGTAGAGACACAGACTAAAGATGGTGTCCAGAGAAGAGGGAGGTCGCTTGAACTCATTCACTATGTGTCATAGGTAAACCCTTTCGGTCAAAAATGTTGTAAATTTACACACTCCTAGAAACGTCAACAAAACTTGCACTATTGTGAACTTTGACCGGGTAGGCGGGCTGCATTGCGACAATATCCCATCCACATATCCTCAGAAGTGGTCAGCCGGTTTTTGGATGTGGTGGTCGGAGCTTTGATGCTGCTTTCATTTACCCTTCTGAGTTTCGTGTGTTTGGTACCCAGGTCTCCTCCTACATACTGAGTGAGAGTATACTGTGCCATAGAACAGTGGTTTGAGGGTTTGCCTTTGTGTTGAAGATTGGAACCCCTACTGGCTGAGTTGCCGTGGTAGCTCAGTTGGTAGAGCACTTGCCAATAAAGCAGTGTAGTGTGTTCAAATCCCAGCCAGGGCAGCTCTTAGGAAAGAGCTGTCATGGGTATAGTCGACTTTTTGCTTTGCCTTGACTTTCTATATACCTCGTTACTTCATTGAAACGTTCACTACAACTACTTTGTGCGTCTTTGCATGCTTGTTGGTCTGCAGCTACAGGCCACAAGGTGCACTAGTAACAGCTTCTTAACTATGGGAGCAAGTAAATCAAAAGGCGATATTCCTAAAATGGCTGCGTTATGGTGTGAAAAGGGGTAAAAACCAATGCATGATCAGCATCATATTTATCTAAACCCCTCTACTGTACAGCTCTATAAGGAAAGCTGTGGCTACCACCTAATGGATCATTGGTGCATGTGGTTAATAATGTTTACTTAAGGGACCTTTTCCAGATGACGTCACATACAATACAGTGTGTTCCGGTTAATACCATACCCAATGTGCATCCAAAAAATATGATAATATGCGGGATATTCTACAATGCGGGTGTGTATACTGCGCTGCTTATTACCCATTGCTAGGTCTTTGCTAAGTTTATACTAGTACCACTACACCACGACATTTCTGGAACGCATGTGTCTAAGAATACCAGTTAAAATCATATAGATCGTTTTAGGAGGGTATTTGGTACCGTCTTACTTCAGCAACAAAATATTTCAGCCATTTACTGAGGGTCAGTGAGGGCCAGTAGATCCCACGGTACTACATTCCCAGGTTCCTCCGTGAAGCGTGCATTTCGCCGTTCGTGCCACGACAGGAAAGTAGAGAGCGCCCACTGAGTTGTATTCTTTTTTTACAAGCTTCTTGCTGAGAGCCTCGCAGAATCCACAAACTGAAACGCTCAACAGGTTTACCCTTTCCTTTTAGAGAGAGAGAAAGTGCTTTTTGGCCGACGGTCAAGCGGCAAAAAGGAGTCGTTCCAGCCCTATACTTCTGAACGAAAAGCCTCCGTCATAGCTACCCCCGACGAATGACAGTTTGACGTGAGGATCACGTGCATTGCCTTATTTAGAAGCGCGCGCGCCGCAGCGACCAATCAACGGTAATAAACATTTTATCACGCCTTTTGTGGTGGTGTTGCCTCCCCCCTCGGGTGGATAAACCTGTAACACCACTCCATAAGGTGTAATAACATATACTATACGGTACCAGTCAAAAAAAATGCACCGTATTTCCAGGTTTTAGTGTAGAAACCAGATCTACACAACAGCACAATGTACACATGAAAAAGGGAGTAATTACTATTTCCTGAACTGTTTCAAGACCTTTCTACAGGTGTGTAGCTACAGATAAAAAACAAAAATCTACCCAAATGTGACTGTACTACGTACGTACCTACGTATTAACCATACGGTAGGTGCATACAATGTACAGACAGGTGTAGCTACACGTCCTACAGTGATAAAATGCACTTATGTAGCAACACTACAACATACCTACGTACTACAGCAAGGATTGTACGTAATGTTACTACAGTGGTTAAACCAAACAGCGCCACATGTGTACCGGTCGTAAAAGGCCAAAACTTCATGCAAGCACTGAGTACAATACAATAGCAACACCTTTAAGTTTTGGAGTTGTAACACAACTACGGTGCATTTTTTTGACTGGTACAGTATGTGTATACCAATGTATAGTGTGACCCAGGTAGTGCACAAGGTAGTTTGTTTAGCTAAGCTAATCAAGCTGGGCTAGCCTAGCTGTTTACATAAGCTAAATGGAAGCCAGGTGGAGAATGGAGATTCACAAAACTCCAGCCCAAGGTTGTAGAATTCCTAATTATGCATGCTCAATAGTGACAATACGCCCACAAAAAACAAATTTGCTCAACTTTTCTGTGGTAATAGGCGGGATATGACATTATTCGTAAACGGAGTAAAATGAATGGGAAAGCATTGGAAGTGGTTTTGGTTTTCACGTTTATATTGATATTTTATTAAACGTTATGGTATTAAGTGGGACCCACTGTAACTATAAGCATGGTTGATATTCTGCAGGGGTCACTATCTCCAGGGCTGTAGTAGAGACTGAGGAACGTCAGTTACGGTCCTCTCAGGCTCCTCCCAGTGTTCCTCAAGAATGTGAAACTGCCACTAATACCGCAAGACCAAACGAGCCTGCTGACAACACTTCAGCTCTGAAAACTGTCCATTTTCTTACAATAGACAATGCTCAAGATGTTTTTGAGATGATGTATGAAGCACGAGAGAAGTGGCGTAACATTGGAGGAGCCTTCCGCCTTACCCCGTCAACTCTCAACAATATTAATTTAGAAAACCAAAACAGTGATGACAAACTACGCAATGTCATCATTGAATGGCTCAATAGATATGGAGGAACTGGAGATTGCACTTGGACCCATGTGGCCATGGCACTGAGAAATAAAACTGTGGCTCGAGAAGATGTTGCTCGTGAGGTGTTAGAGCAGCATCCCCAGCCATGGAGTGTTCCTCCTCCCTCCCTTCCTCCTCCACACACTTCCCCTGACTCAGGATCTGGAGCTACTGCAGCTACTCTGAAACCCAGTACCTCCCACCCTGTTGCAGGTAATCATTACTACTTGTATAAGTTGGATGCATTGGGCTTTGCTGGTACATCAACTTCAACGAAAATCAATATTTTGCCTTAGAGTTGGTTGCTGCTATAGTAGTCCATATTGACTTTGCCATACCTAGTCAATACTTCTTAGAAACTCATCTTTCTCTGAATAATTGCGTAGTCTACTAAGCAGACAAGTATAGCGGCCGAATTTGTTGCTGCATGTGAGACTGTAGTTAGCTACTTGCTGAGGCCCTGCTTCTCTATAGGTTTGCACATGTATAGTTATTGTGTCACTAAGTCTCGTAGCTGTTGTATGAGACTTTAATGTATGATTCAGGTTCAGCAGTACTTACATAATGTTGCATTTTCTAACCTTGATTAGCTTCAGGTGTATCACAAC